TCATCTAGTCCAACCCCCTGCTCAGGCAGGAAACCCTATACCATTTCAGACAAATGGCTGTCCAGTCTCTTCTTAAAAACTTCCAGTGTTAGAGCATTCACCACTTCTGGAGGCAGGTTGTTCCACTGGTTAATTGTTCTAACTGTCAGGAAGTTTCTCCTTAGTTCTAGGTTGCTTCTCTCCTTGATTAGTTTCCATCCGTTGCTTCTTGTCCTGCCCTCAGGTGCCTTGGAAAATAGCTTGACTCCCTCTTCTTTGGGGCAACCCTTGAGATATTGGAATACTGCTACCATGTCCCCCCTCGTCCTTCTCTTCGTTAAACTAGACATACCCAATTCCAGCAGCCTTTCCTTATATGCTTTGGCCTCCAGTCCCCTAATCATCTTTGTTGCTCTTCTCTGTACTCTTTCTAGAGTTTCAACATCTTTTTTACATCGTGGTGACCAAAACTGGATGCAGTATTCCAAGTGTGGCCTTACTAAGGCATTGTAAAGTGGTATTAACACTTCACATGATCTTGATTCTATCCTTCTGTTAATGCAGCCCGGTAGTGTGTTGGCCTTTTTGGCAGCTGCAGCACACGGCTGGCTCATAGTTAAGTGACTGTCCACTAGGACTCCAAGATTCCTCTCACAGTTACTACTATTGAGCAAGGTGCCCCCTATACTATACCTGTACATTTGGTTTTTCTTGCCTAAATGTAGAACCTTACTTTTTTCACCATTGAATTTCATTTTGTTAGATAGCGCCCAGTGAAACAGAACACCTGGGTATAATATTTTCTTAAACCAAGAGGAAATATTATTGAAAATTTTCAATTGCGCTGAAATGGATAGACTTACATGGGAACTCAAGAACAAAAGTGAAACCACGTACTATAAAATCTGGGAACAATTTTATGATTGGATAGACAATAGGAGGGTAGCCAAGATAAATGTATAGTGCTGAAATAAAATATAGATTTTAGACAAATATATATTTAAAAGATAAATAGATATATAGAAACAAGGGGAAACGTGTTAATAGTATATTATAAATAGTGAGCAGAGTTCAAAAACTATATGTCTATATGAGTACTAATACTATTGTAAAATGTTGGAAGATGTATGGAACCAGTGACGTCATATCTATGTCCAATGTGTTTTTAATTTTGTATTATTAATAAAAATTTATTTAGAAAAAAAACATTTTCTTAAACCAAAAATAGATGGAAGGAAGAAAAATGCTTCCCTGATCATCATATTTTGAAGGGTGGGTTCAATGGAAGACATACAATGGTGCAGTTTACTTCTTGTAAATACCTATTTGCATAATATTTCTCTGAAATGCCATTTTTCTGCTGGGTTTCTAAACGGAGGGGGACTTCTGACAGTTGGCTGGCTGCAAAGAATTTTGGGGCCAGATCAGTTCAGAGCCAACCAGCAAAGCAGAAAAGTTTTGAACTTCACAAATTGAGGAAAGAGTTGTGTTACCATGCTTGAAATAAGGCGCCTGGGTGGCCCCTTCTATGGTGATAGAGAAGTAGCCCAATGAAGAGTTTTCTGGCACGATGATGTACAAGAGGCCTCCCCACAAGCTGGAGATCTCCATCTTCTCAGTCTTCACCGAAAACCGCCTTGTCACCACTGGAGGACGCTTCCATTCCTCGAGATTAACTAAACGGTCAGTGTGGCACCCAATCTGCACCTGCGGAAAACATGGAAACATGGAAATGAACAAGTCACTATGAAGTGACTTCAGAGTCCTAGTGGACAATCACCTAAATATGAGCCAGCCGTGTGCTGCAGCTGCCAAAAAGGCCAACACAGTGCTAGGCTGCATTAACAGAGGGATAGAATCAAGATCACGGGAAGCGTTAATACCACTTTACAAGGCCTTGGTAAGGCCGCACTTGGAATACTGCATCCAATTTTGGTCACCGCGATGTAAAAAAGATGTTGAGACTCTAGAAAGAGTACAGAGAAGAGCAACAAAGATGATTAGGGGACTGGAGGCTAAAGCATATAAGGAACGGTTGCTGGAAATGGGTATGTCTAGTTTAACGAAGAGAAGGACGAGGGGGGACATGATAGCCGTGTTCCATTATCTCAGGGGTTGCCCCAAAGAAGAGGGAGTCAAGCTGTTCTCCAAAGTGCCTGAAGGCAGGACAAGAAGCGATGGATGAAAAACTAATCAAGGAGAGAAGCAACCTAGAACTAAGGAGAAACTTCCTGACAGTTAGAACAATTAACCAGTGGAACAACCTGCCTCCAGAAGCTGTGAATGCTCCAACACTGGAGGTTTTTAAGAAGAGACTGAACAGCCATTTGTCCGAAATGGTATAGGGTTTCCTGCCTGAGCAGGGGGTTGTACTAGATGACCTCCAAGGTCCCTTCCAACTTTACTATTATTATTATTATTATTATTATTATTATTATTATTATTATTATTATTATTATTATTATTATTATTATTATGAGAAATGGCTCAAGGGTGACATTAAATGATGGGGGCGTGCGTGTCGAGCATGTAAAAAAAGGGAAATCTAGTTCTGAATCTGATTAGAAGTGGTATATAATCGCTGTTTCTCCACCTTGGCAACATTAAAAGGTGTGGATGTCAGCCTCCAGGAGATGGGGGGGGGGGTCTTATCTTAATGTGTTAAGGACCTGCAGAATCTAAACCATATATCATGATGTTTAATTAAGAACAAATATTACCTGCAGTTTTGCATTGAGGATGGAGGGGGGGGATAATAAAGTGACCGTTGTTGCCGGTGGAGCATACATGCCAGTGCTTCTCCAAGCTTCATTTCCTAAAAGCAAAGTATACAATCTTTCAGAGGGTCATGTCCATATGCATAAATGCAAAAGAATGCCTTGCACACATAGGTCATTCCCTTGAAAGAAGAAGCACTAAATTCAAAATTAAGAACAACATTTCCTACCTGTGTTGCTTCCATTTATTTGAATTTTTTGAGGAGGTGCTGTAGGGTAAGAGCTTGGATCATATGGCTTCAAGCTGGGTACTAAGCCTTGAAACTCTGGTAGAACGTTATAGAGCACAGAAGCTATTTGAAGTAAGATGGCTTGGTCTGAATTGGCTTGGATTGGGTTATGTACACTGACCTCGGGAATCCCTTTAATTTGAACCAACTCTAGAGCCTCTTCATGAACTGAGGACAAGAGACGGGAGTTCGTAGCTGGGATCTGAAGGAATATCTCAATGTCTTCCACCAATCTCTGCAGCCACGAGGAATATGACGGTTGTAGAATCTGCTCGTTTCGAATATGTTTCTTGAACTGCAAGAATGCTTTCCGGAAATGATAAGTGGAAGCCACTTCGCTGGCCTCTCTGGCAGGACAGCTGTTTTCAGGTATCTCAAAATATGCGTCAATAATCCCAATTCCAAACTTATTCAGGATCTTATTTCCTGGATATTCTGCAATAGCACTGGAGTTAGGATTCACGGAAGCCCAATACCAAGATTGACCCCCGATTAGGAGCCCTCCTCCTTCAGAGACAAATTCGTGGATGCTTTCCATGTCTTTGGCATCATAGGCTGTACAACAGTATATGCCTAGGCCTTCCTTAAAGTTGGTTAGCTCACAGGGAATCATTGCTTGGTTTAACATGGAGTAAAGTTCCTGTAAGTTGTCTCCAATGCCCACCTGTCTTCCCTTCCCAGCAGAAAGCCAACTGACGGCATTGAGGAGGAAAGATTTCATTGATGATATGCTAAGGAAGCCTTCATGAGAGGCAACAACGATGCGTCCTCGGCCGTAGTATGCAGCTGCCAGGAAGGAGTGGTAGGTATCACTTACGCCAACTGGAAATGCCAGGGCTGCATGGATAAGCAAGGGAGATGGAGTCATTTCATTCTGGAGGTCATCGCCCTTCACATTGAATCTCTCCACTCCTTTCAGAAGAGTTACTAAATCCTTTTGAACATCTATTCCGTGTCTTTTAAAAAAAACACAGAAAAATTAAGTTATATTTTCCATGGGTATGATGGTCTTCAGACTAGAATCCTAACATTGGAAGAGTGGCTGGGCTAAACATGAGCTGTAATATCAAGTATCAGTACTGCAGAGTGGATAAGGAGAAGGAGAAGGAGAAGGAGAAGGAGGAGGAGAAGGAGAAAGAAGAAGAAGAAGAAGAAGAAGAAGAAGAAGAAGAAGAAGAAGAAGAAGAAGAAGAAGAAGAAGAAGAAGAAGAAGAAGAAGAAGAAGAAGAAGAAGAAGAAGAAG